CTCGTCCTCTTGCATGAAAGGGTGGGTCACATAAGATGGTGTGACCATACAAAGATCTGGATTACACAAGTCGGTGAATTCTTACAATGGTGTGGCTACGCCGTAACAAGCAGCCACTACGTGACGGGACTGCCAGTAGTTATGCATATTAATTAGGTCTAACTGTTTAATCAGGAAACCCTAAAATTTTAGATATAAACGGCTTTGTTGCAAATAAAAAACATAAACCAGATTCAGTTTTCAACGGAAGAGCATCTTTGCCTTCGTTAAGGTTTTTAAGTACTCTTGGTGGTCGCTACACCCGAACTGGTTCTAATATAGAACGTAAAGTCGGTGACCTTAACTTAACTTCCTCTAAGCGAAGAGCTACGGCAGCCCCGCTGCACTTGGGAGCACTCGTAGTCAATCTATGCTTGAGTCGTTACGACTGATCTTTGATGAGGAAGGAGCAATTCTCCTATTTGCCTCAGGGTATGCAGGACAGGCATAATAAGCTGCTGTCCCTGATTGGACCTGAGGATGTGCAACACCTTGTTTAGCACGAACCCGGAGCAATAAGCGCGCGCCTAGAGGCGTTTTTGAGCTATAAACATGCTCTGCTAGAGAACCTAGAGAAGAAGATGTCGGCATCGACTGAGTCCATGACGCCACCGTCGACGACGGATGACTCCTCCCGACGAAGGCCGCTCATCGTGAGCGTTAAGACCTTCGAGGGTAAGGATAGAGAGAATCTCCTATTCTGGGTAAGAGAGGCCCAGATGGCTATGGCATTCGCCATGCTTAAAAAAAGCAACAGCGCGTGGTGCTAGCTATCTCAGCTAGATGGTCGAGCGCGAGAATGGGCGCTAACGTGTGGCACTTCAGTTGAAGCGGTGTTCCCTCCTGGAACGAGCTGAAGCTGCGCTTTTGCGAGTGTTCTCGCTGCCTAACTACGCATATCGCGTGCCATCGCGTTTCCTTGCTGCCCGACAGGGCAAGAACGAGTTGGTGGACATTTTCCAGGATGCGTACTCTCATTGCCGGGATGGCGGCTGACTTTCTCCTCGAGGCGGTCACAGTGACCGTTTTATGGTGGGCCTCCGAACTGGCGTGACCAGAATATAATCTTCTGTGTGCATCCTTCTTCTTTTGAAGAGGCGGTAAATGTCGTATTGAAAGCCGAATTCAACTTCAAGTCGGTACGACTTGGTTGAAATGCACACCCTAGCAGCTCGTCGAGCGGGCCTGAGCCAATGGACCTCAGCTATGCCGAGAAAGAGGAGGAGGAGCTCCGAGCTGCCGAGCGAGCAGCGTTGAAACACCCAACTGTGTTTTGTCGGTGGAGACACCCGTCACCTTCGGACAGGTTGTCCCCTGCGCAAGGCGCGTAAAGATTTATCGAACCGATGTCCCGCTTCTCGCCAGTCTGGTTTGTCGTGGGGAAACAACAAACCCAAGTAGGCGCGGGCGTCCTACTGGGGAAGAAATGAGTTCTTTTGAGCTTTAAAGAGGTGAGGTCAGCCCCGAAGAGCTCCGTGCTATTAAACATGGAACATGTATACAAGCCGCGCTTGCTGGTCGTAAAAGCGACCGTGATGGGCTTTGAGAAGCCATGGAAGATCCTGATCGATTCCGGGGCGTCGGGCAATTATGGTCGACGCTCCACAATTGAAGGAAGTCAGCTGTATCCTGAAAGCGCGGTTAATTAACACCGTCACTATTTGCTTAGCGACGGGTACTCGTATCACTATGCCGAGTGTCCCTGTGGACCACGATGTCAAGTTTCTTCACTTCGATAGCGCGGAAAGCTGCTTAGTAATAGACTTGGATTCAAGGTATCACCTTATACCTAGTATGGCATGGTTGGAACACCATGAGCCATGGATCGATTGGAGGTCGAAGACGTCTCCTGGTGGAGCTTTGGTGAGCCATGAACCCACCTTTGCTAAGAAGCAGAAGCGCTTTTATCGCGGGCACTGGACCGGGACGGTCAATATGCTGAAGATTGGAGTATCCGAGTTGTCGAATACCGAAGGTGTAGTCCCGAGCATGGCTCGCCGGCTGATTGTGGAGTGGCACGTAATCCGCTGAGCACTGCTCAAGTATCAAAGCAGTTGCTGCATGCCAAGAGTTGCATGGTCAGACGAGGTCCGAGATTTGGGCAAGTCCCTTCAGATGCGCGTGGAGTGGCACGTTTTCCAGGGTGGAATTAGTAGCTCTTTGTCGGATGTTGTGAATAACATTAAGTCTCCGATGGAGCAGGGAGTGGGGACACTGGACGACGCTGAGCGAGTGTTCCCACTGGTCTCGATGAGATGTAAAACCTCTACAGAGAGAAGACGGTGATGTTGTATGCTATCTGCAAGACGCAGGGCTTCGCCCCTAACCCAGGATGTGTCTACCGTAGACGATAGCACACAGCTAGCTATATACCCTTGTCAACGGTATGACGGGGAGGAAGACGGCGACGTCACCCTCGAGACTATTCGCGCGCTGGATGATCTTCTTGAGCTATTCGAGATGTTTTTCAAAGAGTTTGGCGGCGCCTTGAAGGCAGACGATTTAACCAAAGTTGTCATTTTACGAGGAGATTAACTTGTCGTCGCATCTGGATGAAGCTATCCTGGTGGACACCAAGAGGGTGCAGAACGCACGAACTGGATCGTCAATCCTGAAGGATCCCTCGGATCCGTACTATCCTTTGGTAAAGGACTTTTGTGACGTCGTCTCCAAAGACCCACCGTCGGTCCTACCTCCGGGCCAAGGTGTACATCATGAGATCGACCTTGTTCCAGGAACCAAATACTGCGGAACACGCCAATGGACACTGTCCAAGAAGCAGTGTGACGTCAATGACGCTTTTTTCCGTGCGAAGCACGACGCAGGGATGAAGCGTGAGAGCAAGCCGGCTCATTCGATATCCACGTTCTGTGTCCGGAAGCCGAACGGCAAGTGGCGTATCGTTCACGCTTACGATAAGCTAAACGTCGCCACCATTTCGGCATAGACGCCGATTCCTATTAAGGATGTTCTTCAGAACAATATGGTTGGCTGTACGAAGTACAGCGAATTCGACTTGAACAATGGTTATTACCAATAGATCATAAGAGCGAGTGATATTCCGCTGACAGCGGTGAATTCTCCGAGCGAGATAGTCTGGGAGTGGCTTAGATGGCTGGTGATGCCCCAATGGCTGTAAAATGCACCAGAAATATTTAATCGTCTTGTGACGCAATTGTTTAGGCCCCACCGGGCGAATGCACAAACATACTCCGACGACGTCTTCGTTCACAGTCGTGCGGGGCACGGAAGAGGAGCGGTGCTCGAGCGCATGCGCACGAATAAGCTGTATGCTAATGCCGATAAGTGCATCTTCGGCGCGGAATAAATTCCTTCTTTAGGGTGCTTCATTAGGAAGCGTGACCTTCAAGCGGATCCCACTAAGGCCAGAGCCACTGGGAACTGGCCGGTTCCAAAGAGCTTAAAGGGCTTGCGCAGGTGGCTTGGCCTCGCCAACTACTTGCACAAGTATAGCGCGAATCATGCGGAAATGGCACAGTCATTGTCGAATCTCCTTATATAGAATGCAGAATGGTGTTGGGACACCGAGCATCAGGAGGCTTTTGACAGGGTCAAAGACAGTCTCCTTCATGCACCAATACGTGTGTTGCCAGACCCCGATCGTCCTTTTAGTGTCGTCTGTGACGCTTTGCCATCGGCTGTGCACTGCTGTAAGCATACGCCAAGGGGCGAGATCGGGTGATTGCGTTCAAAACTCGCCAGCTTAAAGCTGCAAAGACCAGAAGCCTTTGAGTAACGGGTTTATGTGTCATAGCACCGATTCCACGGATACGCCACAAATGGGGTTCCTTACAATGAGGATTTAAAATATCGTATCCTCTTTGCCCCCACTCGGTAGTCATCTCGGTCGTGGGTAGACGTACAGCTCTCTGAGTTATCACTACTGCTGACTCAGCTGTACAAATGGACGAGCACATATGTGCGCACGTGTGGGTCGTGTTTAAGGGTGAAAACCTCTCCGAATGCAGCGGCGCCGCGGCCAGTTTACCGGTACCCTTCGGGTGTTGGTAGTCCATGAGTATCGACTTTGTGTTTGGCCTGCCGAAGGATTGGGCGGACAACACGGGTGTGGTGGCCTTCGTCGACCATTTAAGCAAGATGACTCATCTTGCGGCGGATCCAGACACCATCAATAGTGTAGGTACAGCGACGCTGTTTGTGGATCGTGTCTTTTTACAACATGGACTCCCAGAATCAATTGTCTTTAACATAGACCCACACATCATCGGAAGGTTTTGATCGACAATCTTCAGGGTGCTGGGCACCAAGTTGACTACGTCAACAGCGGACCATCCACAGAATGATGGTCAGACTGTGCCCGTGAGTCGCGTCGTTGAAGACGTTTAGCGTATACGCAAGGACTCGCTTTGACACGACCTTAAAAGGATCGATAAACCTTGGACGGAGCTTCGTCTAAGAGTCAGCAGAAACTGCATGTGTAGAAAGGTTTTTAGCATTTAGTAAAACCAGGTCTCCAACCTCAAAACTAATTTT